AAAAAGGAGGGAAAATTCTAAAGGTTGTAGGCTGAGATGGCGAGTTGGTGTCCGAGTGGATCGAAGTTACAATAGCTCAAGTGGATGAGAGCAGAGCCGTATTGAGCCGAAGGTCGTGGGTTCGAATCCCGCTCGAGACAATGACTTTTTCATTTCAACCAATACCTTTCATAAAGACTATTTTTTACATTTTCTACATTATTTTTCCCTAGATTGTTGGTTTCTTGTTTAGTACAATTTTTTGTTTTTACAGTGTCAAAAAGGGTCGAAAGTAAACTCATTGCCGAGGCCGCTATTTTGTTACAATACAAGAATGGACGTAATGAAAGTATATTTCATAGTCACTTGTGTGGAGATATAATTAGTTAGATTCTCTACAAATTAAGAGATAGAATTGAGACGTTATTCTGCAAGGGAGGTGTTTCTCCTGCGATGTTACAGAAATCCTTGTAAACGAAACATTAAATCATTATTCAAACGCTACTCAGAATATCGGAAAAGAATTTGTGTCGAAGGGTTTTGAAGAAACACTATTTATGATCAATAGGCCATTAAAATCGATGGTGCCGAATGATAAGAAAGTTAAAATATTTTGAACACATTATTATTTTACCATGAAAAAGAAGTTGAAGTAATAAATGAAATAAAAATGAAATAAAATAAAATAAAAGTATATTTTAAACGGGTATAAATAACCTATTTGTAATTCTGGAAATAAACCGTATTGAAATATCGTTCGGCAAGTTTGAAATATCTAGATCTTTCACCATTGCCGATTGCGTGGTAACCGAGCAATGCCAAAGATTATCCAAGAAGGTATTTATATGCAGTGCGGTATGTAATTTAGTGTTATTCTAGGTCTATTTTCTATGTGCATACTTGCCCATTATTTATGATCCGTTCGTTCATGATTTAACATTTGTAAAGTAATACTACTTAATGCACGCGACCAAATAATAAATTTCACCAAGGTTGGTTGATCTATGCTTATTAATATTTTTGTTATTTTAATACAACAGACGACCGGACTCAATGAGATTTGCAACGTGCAAAGAAATAATTAAACAGTTTGGTTGGAAATAAATTAGTTTTAATCACCATCAGTAGAGAATATTTCTTCTAAACATGGAGAGTAAATTTCTTTAATTGTAACAAGTGTTACTGATTTAGTATAATTTGCCAAGTTCACACTTATTTCAATAAACAGGGACAATAGCGTATTAGTTGAGCTGTCCACCCAGTTAGGTCATGGACCTGCTCAAACATGTAAACTGAAGTAAACAGGCGATGTGAAACGATGTGTAATTCAACGACATGGGTAAAACATTTGTCCTTACAACAGGTGACAATTGAGCAAAAAACGCGACTGTTGCTATCGTAACATGCCGGCCTAGAACAAAGAAGAAATCATTTCTCAGCCATCTATCTTCATTTCCTCGCTTCCAGTCTCATTAGCATGCGCGGCTTTATCTATTTCCTTCTTTTCGTCCTTGCGGAACAACTTCGTAACTCATGAATAGAGAAAAAAGTGAAATTTTGTCAGCCCTCTACATCCGACCGGCATCCACAGGGATTATAAAGGATTATAGCATGCAGGATTAGCATTCGGTCGGCGGAACTTTAAACTTGGGGCGAAGCTAATCGTCAAGAGAGTTTGTTAAAAGCAACATGAACTTGAACACAGAAGAATGTGCAAATATTACAATATACTGAAATGATTAACATTGACATCAATTTTTTTTTAATGTTTATTTTATTTATTGCTATCTGTACATAATATACATTGAGCAAATAGTTAGTTATAAACAAATCTGACAGACCTCTCAGACCAGGAAGCAGTAGGGAGAGAAACCAACTTTTATTTAATTGGGGGGGGGGAGTTAAAGTTAATTCGGTGGGTTAGATAGAAGGTCACGAGGCCATCGTCGTTTTAAACGGTGTGGAGGATTGTAAAGGTGAGATGTTGAGGAAAGAGTTAGGGCTAGTGAGTTAGGGTGGAGGAAGGGTTTAGATTGAAAAGTGAAGAAGCGTGTTTGGATAAGATCTTTGACGAAAGGGATTTTAAGATCTTTATGGATCGTTTGATTTGTGACATAGAAGGGAGCATTGAGGATACGGCGGAGAACTTTAGATTGAAACGACTGAATTTGTTGGATATTGGATGATTTGGCTGAGCCCTTCAGCTCGACTCCGTAGGTCCAAATAGGTCTGATGAGTGTTTTGTAGGCGGTTAGTTTGTTATGTATGGTTAGTTTTGATTTTGGTCCAAGAAGGTGTCGGAGTAGTCCATATGTTTTGTTAAGTTCTTGCCGTTTTAATCGTGAATGTGGGTTCCAAGTAAGTCTACTATCTAAGTAAAGCCCAAGGTAACGGACTTGGTTCGATGGTGGTATTATTTTGTTGTAAATGTACACTGGTGGACAGGTTTGTCGTTTGAGCGTAAATGTAACGTGTTGGCTTTTTTGTTCGTTTAACCTGATCTGCCACAGATTGCGCCAGTTGGTAATAAGGTTCAGGTGTTGTTGGAGTGCTTCTGTTGCTAGGATAGGATTGGAGTGTGTTGATAAGATTGCGGTATCTTCCGCGTAGGTTGTGATTTGTGTATTTGGATGTGTGGGTATGTCAGCAGTGTAGATGGTGTAGAGGATTGGGCCTAGGATACTTCCTTGTGGAACGCCTGCTTTGATTGGTGTGATAGATGAAAAATCGGTGCCGATTCTTACTTTTAACCATCGATCTGAGAGGAAGGATTTCACGATAAGGTAGTAGGAATGAGGGAAGATACTACGATGCTCGTGGCTCCAAGAGACGGCATGAACAGGATGTTTGAATTTAAACAAAACATCCAAATAAATCTAGGTACCAATAAAGAAGGGAACACCTCCTTTAGGAATGGCACCATCCTGCAGGAGTATTCGGTCCTTGAACCAAATACCCAGAGCCCATGAGAAAATACACCAGTATCTTCCAAGCTGAGATTCACGCAATCGAGAGATGTACTCAATTCAATTGTCTAAAGGGTACAAAAACAAGAACAAAACTGCCATGTCAGATAGCCAAGCAGCCATCAAAGCACTAAGCTCAAATATCATTAAGGATGTGCTGAACTGCAAAACCAAATTAAGCATATTAGGCAGAACAAAGTCAGCCTTTGCTGGATCCATGGGAGTGGAAGGCAACGAGAAAGCGGACACCCTTGCAAGGTAAGGAGCTGCTACACCGCTGACAGGGCCAATCCTTCTGTGGCATAGGAACACTATTAATGAGTATCTCAGACAGAAAGGCCGAAAAGAAAACGAAGGAACAATGGAATTCACTCATTGGACACAGGCAATCCAAGAATCTAACAAATTTCGGAAGAAAAGAAATTACAGAATGGTCAAGGGAAGCAGAAACAAACTGCGAAATCCTAATAGGATTCCTAAAAGGACACTGCAAACTAAATGGACACCTAAAGAAGATTGGAATAATCCAAGACGGCACATGCAGATTCTGCAAAGAGGCAAAGGAAACACCAACACATCTATTAACCATCTGCGGAGCTACACTCGTACGCAGGAGGAAGTGTTTTGGGATGAATAATGTGCCCCCAGAAGAGCTTCAACCACTGAAACCGAGCCTATTGATCAAGTTTCTTCATAGGTTCACTATTTTCGTGGTCCGCTTGACCAATTAATACTTTACAATTAATTAAGGTTTTTAGTCGAGATGAAAAAAAGTTAATGGCACGAGAGGGATTCGAACCCACGACCTTCGGCTACATACGCCGCTGCTCTACCACCTGAGCTATCGTGACCTCGATCCACTCGGACATCAACTCCCCATCTCAACCCCACCTTATCAGTTTTCCCTCCTTTTGAAATTGAATTAAAATGAAGTACACTTCACTAAAGCTCTCCGTCGCCATTTCAATTGTCGTCGAGAATCCAAACCGATTACACGACATTTGAAAAATGGCAAAAAGGAGGGAAAACTCAAAAGGTGGGGTTGAGATGGGGAGTTGATGTCCGAGTGGATCGAGGTCACGATAGCTCAGGTGGTAAAGCAGCGGCGTATCTAGCCGAAGGTCGTGGGTTCGAATCCCTCTCGTGCCATTAACTTTTTTTCATCTCGACTAAAAACCTTAATTAATTGTAAAATTTCTTCATAGCACTCACCGATGTGCTTTAGGCAGAAAACGGGGGATATAATAACTCTTAAAGGGCGCAGTATACTATACCCTGAAAATTACATCTACATCTAACGGATAAAGCACATTTCAAGGGGCATTTCAACCATCGGGCAGTATGAACTTGACAATTTAATTTCATACACAAATCCCAAACTACTCCGGACGAAATATAAATCATAAAATTAATTTTTTAAACAAAGAGATTAATGATAAGAAACAGCTGGTAGAACAAAATGACAGGAATTGTAAACTGTTAATATGATTTGAAAAAATCTGTCATCCAAGTACCACGGGATCTTTATTTTTCTAAAACTATCCCGTGTATATTTTTTCTTTTTATTTCGTACATATCCGCAACTGTTTGCCACCATAATGCCTCTTTGATAAAAACGTAATTTGCTCGATTTTTTTCTAACTGACGGAAATTATATATTGCACGAGGACAGAAGAAAAATGATGGATGTTGTATTAAAACTACAAGGAGAATAAGAAACGAGTTCCACAAGTTTAATTGATAACGTTTTTTATTCTGAAAATGATTTACGGCTCAGTCGATTCCCATTTCGATTGAACAATGGCCAAATCAGTAGGATACTAATAAAGGCTTATGTAAAACAGACAGCTGTACGTATATTTCGAAAAGTTCGGCCAGATTTCTCTTATATTCAATGAACAATTTTGACTATTTGCACTTTACGTGCAATATTAGAAAGTCCTAAAAATGTTTTTCTGAGTTTGCTGTAAAATACATTAAAACTAACTTGTAAAGGAAAAAACATCATTGTCTAAAAATCTATTATTTAATTAAATTCTCTCAATAACTACAAAATGATTGCAAGTTATTTTAATAAATATAAGAAAGAGGATATAGTATTAAATGAAGTCATCACAGAATTCTGAATAAGCAGAATACTCGTTGTAAGCCGAATCACCTTCAACGCGTAGCTTGGCTTTCAGTTTCGACTTGGTCTTCTTCTTCTCACCCCTTTCCGCGTTTATCTTCTGAATTTGCAGATTGCTGAGGCGGACGCAAATCTTTTTAAGCTCAGTGGACGAGAGGTGGACGCATAGGTTGTTGACGAGCTCTTCGACGAAAGGAAAGTAGTTTGCGTTTTTCTGGGCGTCGTTCACCAGCTGGAGGAGGTTAGTGTTCAACTTTTCGTATTCCTCTTTTGTTTCGAGGGCCTTCATGTCGGCCACGCCGAAGATCTCTCTCGCCAATCGAAGGTCGGCTTCTTCTTGGAGCTTCTGAGCTTGTAGCTTGTCCAGGGCGACCTCCTCGGCGCTCTTCTCCTTGGGGACTTCCTTCTTCTGAACCTTTTTCCCTTTTTCTTCCGAGCTCCTGCAACCGTTCCTCCTCGGCTGCTTCACCTCTTCTTCCACTTCTTCCTCTTGATCCCAACTTTCGAGGGTGCACTCTTCAACGTCCTCGTCGTCCCACTTAGACTTGACATTCTTGGATGCAATATCCGTCGGCGCAGACAAGTCCCAAAAATCCATTTTTTTAATCTCTAGCTTAACACACAACGATACACTAATAATTATCGACTAAAACCTTCGACAGATCGAGTGATTTTTCCTTGCAACGATTTTTATTTTTTCTCGCCATTTTTCGATATGTTTTGTTACCGGCGCGTATGTTCTACATTTTAAAATCAGCTGCTTTAACTAATTTAATTCAGTGAGCAATGCTTATTCGCAGTAAAACAAAAACATTAGTTAACAAATTAAAAATTACAATAACATGACTGATAATTTAAAATCATTAAAAAAAATGAAATGTTATGACATTTTGTACCTGGTTTATGTCAAAATTGCAAAATGTGGTTTCAAAGATGATCTAATTCTAATTATCTGCCATGTGAAAACAATTCTTCAAACAAACTGGCGTTGACCAATCTATATTATAAAGCAATAATTACTATATCGTTACTAGATTATACTAGATCGTTTTACGTAAAAATAAATTTTATTAATGGTCTGTACAAAGATATAATCAAAAGCCTCGCGATGTTTTAGTTTTAATGACAGATGTTTTAATTTAATCTGAAAATGAAATTGATTCCGAGCCTAAATTTATCTGCAAATTTTATATGCCTTGAGTCAACGTTTTTTTGCTTCACTTTTCAATTTTATTTTAATTTTGACTTTTAGGTATTAATCAATTATTTATTTTTTTCACACATTTTTGTAGAAAATGGTTTTAATTATGGAGTTCCGCGAGGAAATGAAATAGCCTCGAATCCATAATTACATAGTGTACCTTGGGTGATGTTAGTCCATTCAGGCCAATACGTGAGATTTTATGGTTTTAATGGAGGAGGAATTGGTTGAACTTCACAAAGAAAGGGTTCTTGAACATTTCATTAACGCACACACAAATATACTTACCCATACTCTACCTCCCTCGGTCTGTCTTTTTATTTATCTATCTACCTACCTATGTTCCTAATGCTCTATCTATTCTTCTCTCTCTTTCTCTCTCTCTCTCTCTCTCTCTCTCTCTCTCTGTNTATCTATCTATCTATCTATCTCATTATCAATATATCTCTTTTAATCTCTCTTTTTCTCTCTCTCTCTCTCTCGCTCTCTCTCTCTCTCTCTATCTATCTATCTATCTATCTATCTATCTATCTATCTATCTCATTATCAATATATCTCTTTTAATCTCTCTTTCTCTCTCTCTCTCTCTCGCTCTCTCTCTCTCTCTCTCTCTCTCTCTATCTATCTATCTATCTATCTATCTATCTATCTATCTATCTCATTATCAATTTATCTCTTTTAATCTCTCTTTCTCTCTCTCTCTCTCTCTCTCTCTCTCTCTCTATCTATCTATCTATCTATCTCATTATCAATATATCTCTTTTAATCTCTTTCTCTCTCTCTCTCTCTCTCCCTCTCTCTCTCTATCTCTATCTATCTATCTATCTATCTATCTATCTATCTCATTATCAATATATCTCTTTTAATCTCTTTTTCTCTCTCTCTCTCTCTCTCTCCCTCTCTCTCTCTCTATCTCTATCTCTATCTATCTATCTATCTCATTATCAATACTCAGATTTATCTCTGACTTTATATCTTTTTCTCTCTTTAACGTTTTGTTAATTTACTTCATTTAGGATGTGTTCTGATCCGGATCAGAAACGAGAAACTCAAGATTGTTGATATATCGAAATTTTTTTGAAGGCAAATAAAGCGATTTTTATTAATACACTTTAGGTGATTTTATTTTTAATTACTCGTCTGAATTATTAAACAATCATTTTATTTTTATCAAAATTTATAGAGCCTATTGTTTTGGTCTAATATGATGGATGGTCGGCCCATAACACAAGAACTTTGCTCACAAAAATTAATGAATGTTTCATTTCCTTTTATTACAGTTTTTGTTTTAGAGGAAGAGGAATGTTATGTTGTGTTTTTATTTTATGTTGGTTAGGAAACGGTCGACCCGTATCCTAAGAAATTATGCTGAGATGGCTGGCATGCCCAGCTTAAACATGCTTTTCTTATTGAAAGCCATCCTACCTACACTATAATGGCATTATATTTCATTAACAAATTATCTATAATCTGTATAACGTACGCTGACAGGCAAAAAATTCATCCAAATTTTTTGTTTTCATTTTCTCGATAAAAGAAAATTCTGCCCTTAATTTGCCTCATTATTTTTACCAGTAAATATTTGTTTATGCTGTGTTTTAAATTGAGAATATCAATTAGAAGTAAACACACTTAATCCTTAACACAAAACAAGGATAAAGGATTTTTCAATGTTCACTTTTTACGGAATTTTAAATGTTTATTCAGTCTCATTTGAATTCAGAAGCAATAAACCATTTCTTTAGTTTTACATCTTTGTTTTCTTACCTTCAATGTTTAAACTTAAAAATGCCACTTAGTGTTGAGGATGTGGCGCGAGAAACTGGGTCCTACCATACAAGGCCCGGTTCTGGACGTCCTAGGCTAACAGAACCACAGGATATACATTTTTGATTTTGAGAATTTTGCGAAACCGGCACCTTACTGTGTTCAAGCGATTCACCAGCTCCGGGAAGTTCGAGGTGTCGATATTTCCGCATGCACTTCTCGAAAAAGATTAAATCAGTATGGACTGGTGGCTTTTCGCCCCGTAAGAGCACCAGAATTGACCAGAACACTCAGAGTTGCACGGCTCGAGTACACAGTCATTGGTCTTTACTCGATTGGTCTGCTGTATTTTTTACAAATGACTGTAGATTTGCTCTACGAGCTCCAGATGGACGTGAAAAAGTGTAGAGAAGGCGAAATCAAGGCACGAAGCTTGTAATTTTTCCTAGAGCTCACCTGTTCACCGTAGCTCAGTGATGATTTGGCGGGAATTTCAATGGAGAGTCGCACAGAGTTGTTGTTCGTGGACGGTCTTTGATGGCCACTCGCTTTGTAGATGAAATTTTGGAACATCATGCGTTCCCTATCCTCGATGAAATCAGCAAAAATCCTATTTTAATGCACGATAATGTCAGTCCAATAGAACAAACGTTCCTTCAACAGCATAACATCACGGTCTTAGCCTTGGCCAGCTCTTTCTCCAGATTTGAACCCCATCGAAGATTTATGGGATAACCTCAAAAGATGAATAAGAGTCGTCCATCACTTCCTGATACACTCCACGATCTTGAAAGATCTCTTTCCGAAGAATAGGTTAACCTCCAGCAAAGTGACATTTCCAGACTGGTAGAAAGTATGGCGAGGCGTCTTTGAGATGTAATTAAGGCAAGAGGAGAAAATACGCGATATTGAAATGTTAATTAAAAACTACAACAAATTTAATCTATCCGTCTTTTTGTCCATCCCTAACCTTTTTTAGACAAAAACTCAATTATTAAGCGTCCGGAAACGTGAAACCTCCAATAATATATAAACATATATGCAAATCAATTTATAAGGGGGTGGAATTTTTGCATGTTAGTGTATAATGTATCAATGTGTATAATTGAAATATGTAATCATCTTTTTCACTACTTCGAATTACACAAAAATAACGAAATAAGACTCGACTCATAAAATAATATATAGTCCCACTAGGTTGAACTTGCGTGTTATTTGACCACTATGAGCCACTTGTTGCAACAGTACTTTCCCTACGGGAAAACGATCTATCCATTTTTGCGTATTATTATGAGACGAGGGACAACTTTAAGCGCGACGCCGCCGCCGCCGTTTCCGTGAAATTGTATTTTCCTGCCCCTCGGTCCGTGGAACGAGGTTGGAAACGTTTTACAGGAAATGGCCGATTCGATAAAACGTCGGACCGGCCGAAATGGCAGCCGCTCCCCCGCGTCGAACCGTAATAAAATGGTGGAATTTCAGCTTACCCGGGTGCCGGTGACATGTTGACACCCGGAATGAGGGACAGACGAGTTCCCACGGGACTCCAATCGATTCTCTCCGCTCGTCCCCATTCGGCCCGGGGTTCGCCAAGTACGGGATTCTTTCCGCAGGTACGATCGCCGACGACAAAGGGTGACGTGGAAAAAACGACCGCTTTATGATTCGGCCGTGACAGCATCGCCTCATCATTACGGTAAAATTGGATAAATTCGTATCACCCGGTTGGGAATCAGAGAACGTTGGACCAACGAAATTTCTTTTTTCCAATTTTTTTAGTAAATAAAATATCAAACGTGAACACACTTTAATATTTCAAAGTTTCTATTAGAATGTCAACATCCCTGAATGTTTTTGAAAAACTACTTATAAACAGACTAATTTCCTTTTTGTTAAAAATATATATTATAAATTGCAAACAATTTGTATTCCTAAAAGAATAGAGCTGAGAATGCGCTTGGAAATTTTTCCTCACCAGTATATCACGATATTGGATATAACCAAAGCTTTAGACACGCATACCACCTTGATACAAAAACTAGATGATTTTGGCATCAGGAGAATTCACTTAATCTTATTTGACAATACGGAGTCAATGTATAAAGGTGCCATTTGGAGTATTAACAAGATTGTTGAACATGTACATGGAGTACCTCAAGGGTCTGTGATGGATCCTATCTTCTTTTTGCCGTATGCCAATGATCTGCTGTCCCATGACTTGATGTGGAACTGCCTTTGCACATTACCCATCAGTTGAATATTTAGATGGATGTGGAGGGACAGATTGTTTACTTAGAAATTTGTAAACAATGTTTTTCGTTTGAATGTGAACAACAAAAACCAAATTTATGTATTTTAAAAATCAAAGTATTCTTGCTAGGGAAATCAAAATTGCAATTAGTTTTTCTATATAAAGATCGCTGTGTTTAATATTTTAAAACAGAAAGAGGGGAAAAATGAGAAAACGTTTGACTCATTTCCTACGAGAACTTTAATTTTTACTCAATAAATGAAGTGTTACATTTTTCTTTAATATTTACTATGCCAATCTGATGTAAAATATGGCATTGTTTGCTCGGAGGTTGGTCTTATAAAAATGTGACCGGCTCAATCCTAACCATTTCATTTTTTTTTTTTTTTTTAAACTAAGAAGAAGAAGTACAAAGAAAAAAAACTTTCCCACTGCTGCCATTGGTTATAGGATATACCATGTGTTCGATTTTGCATTCCAATAAGAATTCATTTATAAAGCATATAATTCTGGAAAAAGGTTCAGATGGTAAGCGACCAATTTTATCCACTTTTCTTTTGAGTTGCGTTTCCACTCGAGAGTCCGGTTTTCTTCAAATTTAGTAGAACGCTCGCACTTTCGAAAGTGTCTGTAACCCCGTTTGGAAAGCGGCGATCTGCGCCAATCCATCAATCATTTCTTGTGCAGAACGACGGCCGCACCATCAATTAGCGGCCTGCGGTCCTGATTTTCAATGTTACGGGTGTTTCAGGATTCTTCCGGAGTTTCC